GATCAGAAAATGGATGGATGATCCTTTCTTGAGTGGTAAACTGCAACGAGTACACTGACCATTGGGTGGATGGACAATCTTCTAGTATGCCATGATATTTAGACTGGATTGACAAAAGTAATAGCTGATACAAGGTGAGTTTAAAAAAATCTTTGAGTTGTATCCAGTGAGAAATGCCAACATTGCATGCTAAATAGTAAGAAACTCCAATAAAATCCAGAAACTTGTATAAGGCGTGGGGTGTGTTGTTCCCAATCGAAAAACAACAATATTTTTCAATCCCAACATATTCTAGGCATCAAGATACCATGCAAATTATCAAATGTATCCCAAATTGGCTATGAAGATATGATTGGGTGGTTGATATGTGTGTGCTAAAATCTTTCAGCATATCCCTATTTTACAAAAAAAAATATCTCGGCAAAACAAATTCTTCTCATAGCATTCTGTAGTTATGTATTTTTGCAAACACTTGATTAATGCAACAAAAAAAAGCCTCACCTTCACCCGAGCCTCTGCAGGTTTCTGTGAAGCCCAGAAGGTGACATAGCTCCCGGTCGTACCACACCAGTAGTTCCTCCTCCTGGTGGACGTCCCTGGTGGTCCGCACGTAGAGCTGACCTCCTTTCAAAAAGGCCTCCGTGTTCTGCTCCTCTCCGTTGCGCGCAGCCTGCACCAGCCGTAGCCAAGACAGCACCAAGGCGGAATTACGCATGGCCTCTGGGTCCACCTGTTGGCAACGTCCAGTTAGCGCACAGCAAAAGCCTTCTGAGTTGGGGAGCCGATATTTTGAAGCCAACTCACCCTGAACACGCAGGGTTTGGCTCTTCTATCGCTGGATTTCTGAGCAATGAAAGCGATGGTGTCGTAAAAAGTGTGATGGAGCACACACGGACCAAAGCTGGTCCCCGCGGGGATGCTGCGCGTCACCACCACGCTGGTGTGAAGCTCGGCGGGATGCTGCACGAATTTCCCGTCACCCGGCCACATGGACCGAGCTAGGAAGGCGTGATCCATCGTTAAACTGGAAAAATAATGATGATGTTGATACATTAGTAGATTAAAATGCTGGTTCAGAACATTCTCGGGAAACGGGGGTGGGGGCGGCGTTTTGTATTAAAGCGCCTCACAATCTTATCAGCTACATTCTATATTGTGGATTACAAACTAAAGTTGTTTTCTAACGTAAAATAAAATGTGATTTCTATCGGCGTGCGGTGTTGCAACGGTGAAACGACGTGAAGTGAAGCGTGCCGCTGATCATTTTTATGCAATTGTCGTATGTAGCGTGTCAATTGAGTTAAGCGGGCACAGCCAACGCAGACTAAATGATTCGGGACTGACGTCCTTTGTCTCAGTTTTTTTCACTCGGTTTCTTCTTTTGTTTCCTCCATCTGCCGTCAACTGCCTCCTCCGTCCGCGCTTTAAGTTCAATCGCAAAGAAAATGATGATATTGAGGATTCTAAGAGTAGCCGTGGTGTAAAAATGGCACGTGTGGTTGCAAGCATCAAATAATATAATACACCCCGTGTGTATTTGCTCTATGAGTGGAAAAAGTCCCTCAAGAGTGTAGATGGTGCGAGGGCTCACCTGCTGGACATGATGATGTTCTGTGACGACGTGCTCCCAGGTGGTCCCACGATGAGCAAGTTATCCGACTGAGCGTTGATGTGCACTGTCGCCCCTCCGAGCTCCCACTCCCACTTATCGCCGTCCGTCACGACACCCGCTGCTGCGTGGCACAATGATGCAAACGCGCAGACGACACCACTACGACCGCCACCCACTCATCCAAATGATCTACTGATTGGTTTGTGTGTCTTTCCAGGGAGGAGGAGACCAGTAGCCAATGAGTAGAAAGCAATCGTGTGATGATGATGTTAGGCCACAGCCCATGACATAAAAATAATTAAATAACATGACATCAAGATGATGGTGCCCAGTTTGGATGTTAACAAATATCTTTGTTATTGTGGTTTACAGGACTGAACGGCACTACATCATGTGTCTCAAAAAATGAACTGGAATGGTCTAAATTTCACTCTGGGGTAAACAGATCTGAACCAAAAGAAGACCCCGGTGGTGGAGTCGTCCTCTCGAACCATCTGGGAAACATTGGGTTATTTGACTGATTGGGAAAAACGAGGAAGAATCAAGACCAAAAGTGTCAGGATTTTCACTGCAAGGTTCAAGAGACACAATTCAGATATGAAGTCAGCGTAAACAGCAAAACATACATTCATCTTGAGTTCAGAATCAAACCAACTGTGCAGAAA